CGAGAAGATGGAGATGTTTGTGAACTTCTGTGAGGACACCATCTTTGAGATGCAGCTGGCCTCGCAGATCTCTGAGCCGGACGCCGTGGAGCAGCCGGAGGAGGAGGAGGAGGAAGAGGTGCACAGCATCCTGGAGGAGCTCTCCGGGGGAGAAGACGGCGCCCCGGAGTCTGCCTCGGCCTTCACCACCGCGTGTCGGTCGGTCAAGAAGAAGATCTCAGAAATCCGGCAGATTTTCACCATTAAGACCGCGCGCAAGCAGTTCAAGAAAATCAAGAAGCTGAGCATCAAGGAGCTGATCACCGGCTTCTTCTCCTTCTTCTGGATGATCTTTATTGGCTTCTTTAAGGGGATTTTCAGCCTCGTTTTTGGTTTCTTTCACGTCATCTGGTCGTCCATGTTCGGCGGAGGGCTCGTTGAAGGAGCCAAGAACATAAAGGTGACGGATATCCTGGGCAACATGCCGGACCCGACGCAGTTCGGCATCCACGGGGACGTGGGAGAAGGAGACAAAGTGGAAGCCATGGAGTCGTCGGGCAGCTTGGACAAAGCCATGGCTCCTGCAGGAGACGCCTCAGAGGTGGACGTGATGCTGGAGATGCTGACGCCTAAAAAGGAAGGAGGGAAACACGTGGAGCCCGGCCTGGGGGACGTGTCAGAGCTGAGCGGGGAGTCCTCCGCTGCAGACAGCAAAAAGGTGCTTCAGCTTCTTCTATTTTTATTGGAAAAGAAATATAAAAGAATTTTAATCTCAGAATTCACCTTTATAGGCACAATTTTCAGATTTCTGATTCTAGAAAAAAGAATGTCAGAATTCTGATGAGAAAAATTAAAATTCTGAGAAAAAAAATCTGAAAAAACATGGACTTCTGAGAAAAACTTGCAATTCTGACAAAATAATTCTGAGAATAAAGTCAACATTTTGAAATTAAAGTCAGAATTTTGGAAAAAAAACAATCAAAAACTCACAATTCTGAGAAAATAACCCAGAAATCTGACAAAAATTTTAATTCTGAGAAGAAGTTTGAATTCTGAGAAAGTAGAATTGTGAGATTAAAGTCAGAATTTTGAAAAAGAACTCTGAATTCTGAGAAAAAACAAATCTGAATACTAAGAAAAAAAGTTGGAAATCTGAATAAAATCCAGATTCTTTTCTCAGTTGCTCCAACCCTCTTCTGTTCTACTGCTCAGCTCAGACAGTAATTTCCTCTGTCTCACAAAAATGCTTTGCAGAAAGCCGCTGCCAAGACGGCCGCGCCCTCTGAGAGTGAGACAGAAAAGGCAGAGTGAGTAAAAGAGTGACCCAGAACTGACCTCTGCCGCCTTGCAGAGCGACGTCTCCTGTTTACGCACATTTATTTATTGCTGCAGCACAGAGACCCGGGAGAAGGAGGACAAACCGAAGGAGGAGGAGGCAAAGGAACCAGCTGTGGAGGAGAAACCCAAACCCAGGTCCAGTCAGCCCAAAGAGGCGTCTCCGGCCTTCATGTCAACCATCTTCGCCATTCTTGACGTCTACCTGAATAAGATACTGGTGAGCGAAGCTGAACTCAGAATGTTTTGCAATCAAAGATCAGAAGTTGTTTTCTGAACAGAATTAGAAATTTTCTGCTTTAATATACAAACCATTGAAGCTCATTTCAACCTCTTGTCTGCAGTTTTTCAAGTTTTATTTCTTTCACGCAGAAATGGGATCATCTTTTCTGTTTTATTCTAAGCTATTATCTCTCTTCACATTTTCCTTATGTGTTTTAACCCTTCAAAAATTTTTCTTATATTAAGAATATTCAGGGAAAAGTAGGGAAATCTTAGTTAGTGTGTTTCTGCTCAAGACCACAAAGAAGACATTACAAAAAAATCCATCTATTATGAATAGAAATAGAAGAAAATTAGGGAAACCTTGAAGAGTTCAATTATTGTATTGTTGTAAAGCAGCCATTTTCTCTCATATCGAACGTTTTCATTGCAGAACTACTTGGCTCGTAACTTCTACAACCTCCGTTTCCTGGCTCTGTTCGTTTGCTTCGCCATAAACTTCATCCTGCTCTTTTACAAGGTGACAAATTCAACTCTTTCCAGGCTTTTTCACAAAGCTGCACGTTAAATGCTGCTAATTTCCACAGATGAAACTCGTGGCCTATTCTGTGCATTTTCTTGTTTAGGTCACTGGTGAAGCAGAGGAAGAAGAGGAAGACGAGGAGAACAGTTGGGGTGAGGATGACGACGAGAACACGCTGTTCGACATGGACGAGTTTGTGCTGCAGGAGAGCACCGGCTACATGCTGCCGACGCTGCGCTTCCTGGCCGTGTTCCACACCGTCATCTCGCTGCTCTGCCTGTTCGGCTACTACTGCCTGAAGGTGCAGATTTTCACCAAACCACCAGCAGATCCAGATGCGATTAGATGCGATCGTTATTGCACTCTTTGTGTTTTGCCGTCAGGTTCCTCTAGTGGTGTTCAAGAGGGAGAAGGAAATCGCCAGGAAGCTGGAGTTCGACGGCTTGTACATCACTGAGCAGCCGTCCGACGATGACATCAAGGGCCAGTGGGATCGACTCGTCATCAACACGCCGTACGTCAGCGAGGACGTTTGTCGTCTCACTGGTTTCAACTCCGGAGTTATAGTTATGTTTTCTGGATTTCAGATCTTTCCCCAACAACTATTGGGACAAGTTTATTAAACGCAAGGTGAGTGTCCGGCTCAAACGCACGCGACATTTTGTGGTGCGAGACTTTGGAAATCCCATTTCACTACTGAGTCGCACAACAAGCAGGGACTTTTATTAAGAGGAATTTTGGGAGCTCGGTAAAGATACAGTAAAATGTGTTTTTAAAAGTTTTCAATGTGTTCAAGCTGCAGGAACAAAAGTGGAGTGAATGGCCATGAACATCTGAGGTGTGTTTAACTGTTGAAACCCTCATAAGTGAAACTAGAATTTAAATGTTTAGAGATGAGTTTGGTTCAGTGTCAAAATGTAAAGCTCTGAATAAAAGGTTTTATTTAATTCCTCATAAATACTGATTTGTTGTAGTGGAGCTGATGTAGTCTGTTCTTGCTCCATAGCATTTATGACGCTCTCTCAGCGTGTTCCTGTACAAAGCTACAAAGCTAACATCTGAGTCGGATAATAACCTTAATGGTTTCTGGTTTCATTTGCTACTCTTTCACATTAAAGTTCTTTTATGAAACTAACAAAACACAAAATGAAATACATGAAAACACTGAAGGCAACTGGACCTCAGCTAACGATGTAGCTTAGCTTGAAAATTAGCTGGAAGGTGTAGAAAGAAGTTTTCTATTCTACACAATATTCAACGAGTTAATAAAAATGAACTTACAGACACATTTATCACCTGGACATTATTTACTGAACATGCACTAACAATGTCCACTAGGTGGCAGTGTGGCTCTATTATACAACTTCTGATTCAAAAGAAACAAAACATTATGATGAGTCAGCGCAGCACTGCTGTTAATATTAGTTATTATTGGCACCTCTGAATATACTGCAGTAAGAAAGAAACTGAAAGAAGAGTGAAGGTTTCCTTTTAAATAGGATGAGGTTGGATTTTAATAAGTTTATACTAACGTTTATAGTTTTGCTGTAATTTTATTTGTAACTTGTTCAATAAATACGAAGACATCAGGAAATATTTAAATTAATATTTTCCTTAGCTTGATTTGAGTAATACATCTTCTGTTCTGCCTCTGCGCTTGCAGGTGATCAACAAATATGGCGACATGTATGGCGCCGAGCGCATCGCTGAGCTTCTGGGTCTGGATAAGAGCGCTCTGGACTTTGACCCCACCGTGGAAACTGTGGAGAAGGAAGCGTCGCTGCTGTCCTGGTGAGACCAGTTAGACCTTATAAGACGACTTTAGACTCTGATTTGAAATGGAAAAAGCAAAAAAAACAGACTCATGTCATGTTAGGAAACAATAGAAATCTCTTTTATTGTCCCTCTGTGGAAATTGGGAGCATGCAGTTTAACACAAAAACAAAAAATAAGAGCATCTACTGGAGTAAAGGCAAATCTACAGCAGTTATTAACGTAAATGTGAATATATATTTGTGCTGAAAAAAAACACTACGAGAAATAAAAGAAAAAATGCGGATAATGAGAGGAAAGTAAACACTTGAGTTTGTTCTCACGGCTGCTGGAGGAAGAATCTGTGATGACGCTTCTTTATGCAGCAGTTCAATAAATTACAATCATAATTAAATGCCAATTTATTTTAGTAACTCGATTCAGAGTTGATTTAACTACAGCCTTCATTTCTGGTAATAATGAAGATTTTCTGCTTACAGCCAATAAAACCACAGCATAAAAGATTAGAATCAATAAAATACAGAAATGTGGATTATTTATAACAAATAAGCCAAATCTAACACATACTAGTTATTTAGTAGCTTCAAATTAATTTGGACTGGGTGGTAGATGCTGTCATGTCTCCCTCATTGTTGGAATATTTTTAAACCTTCACATCACTGTCAGGTTTTAGTTAATTATTTTGACAAAATTGCAGTTTTAAAATGCTATTTTTCAAGTCCAATGTCTTGTATTCAGTAATTATTGTGTGATTTTTATTATATTGTCGGGTTTTCGAGTCCAGAAACTGTTTTGTCTGATATTTCTATAATAAATATTTTCCTCCTTAACAGGTTGAGCTCCATTGACACAAAGTACCACATCTGGAAACTGGGAGTGGTTTTGACTGACAATGTGAGTTTGTTCATCAATTCCCGCATCACAGGAGCCGGCCGGCGGCCATGATGTTTTTCTCTAACAACAGGCTTCTGTCGGTCTCTGTCCTCCAGTACTTCCTGTATCTGATCTGGTATACCACCATGTCCATCTTCGGACACTTCAACAACTTCTTCTTCGCTGCACATCTGTTGGACATCGCCATGGGCTTCAAGACGCTTCGCACCATCCTGTCCTCCGTCACGCACAATGGCAAGCAGGTGAGTGCGCCAACCACTAGAGGGAGCCAAAGTGTTTTAAATATTTTACTCAGAAATTAACATTGATGAAGAACAAATTGACATGATTAAAAAGAATAAAGTAATTGGATTGTAGAGCATCAAGAATGTCGCTAAACCAATGCAGCTGGATGGGATTAAATATGATTTACTTTTATTATTAATCCAGGTTAAAACTAAGAAAATTAGGCATTTTCGTAGCATTTACAGTGGAACATCTCAAACTCTTTACTGAAGTTAATTTACCCAAACACAGATGCATGTGTTGCTTCAATAAATTAGTGACTGGAAAAAAAAATAACTTCATAATTTGGATGGATGATAAAATACAGAGTTTTCTTCAAACACGTTTTTAAAAACAAACAAAGGAAGCATATGCATGCATCACAAGAAACAAAAATAATTTTTTATTTACTTTTTTAAACTTTATTTTTATGCAAAAATGAACCAAAACATGAGGGCTAAGAGAAGCAACAGAAAGAGAAAAAATGCCCAGTTAAAGTTCAGTCTTTGGCTATAAAACAATCCCATGTTTCCCAAAGTTTCTCTCCTTCCTCCTTATGTAGACGGATTGAAAACATCATGGGTAATGTGTCTCATCGCTGGAGCCAACATTTAGTAACGGCCTTCTTGTTTGGAAGCAGGAGTGTCTTCAAGTATTGGGAACTTCCTGAGGGCAGTTATAAATGTACAGTATGCGTTTATTATGTTCAATACTTTGTCACATGCAGCAATGAATTGTGGGTAAAAGACTTCGTAGGCCGAGCCAGTGTTTGGATCAAATTGAGAATCTTAAATTGTATTCTGGTTTTGATGGGAAACAGGAGAAATCTGATCTCTCTTTTTAATCTTAATTGAATTTTGTGAACTTCCTGTTCGTAAACAGGTCCAGCCTTGAACGTGTGAAGTAGTTTTTCAGAATATTTGTAACTTTGACTGGAGTTAAAGGAAGGAAACGTGTCTCCTTCAGCTTGTGCTGACCGTCGGCCTGCTGGCCGTCGTCGTCTACCTCTACACTGTGGTGGCCTTCAACTTCTTCAGAAAGTTCTACAATAAGAGCGAGGACGAAGATGAGCCCGACATGAAGTGTGACGACATGATGACGGTACGTCTGACCTCCGTTTGTTTAGAACAAAGCAAAGCCACAAAATTGGAAAATAACTTGGCTTTGTTTGCAGCTGAAAGAGATTCTTCTGGCTTTTATTCTGAACGATGACGATCAGGTCCTATTGGCCTTGATCGCGGCTTGAAGACACGACTACCAGACGAAGCATAATGGACGTTTCTTAAGCTTTTAATTCTTTAGAATATCCTTCAGGGCCTTGACGGTTTCCAGCATTTATTAATGACATAAATGTAAAGCAGTCTCCAACAAAATAATGAAAGTTTCAATGATTTTGTCCTTGGCTTTAGTGCTACTTGTTCCACATGTATGTGGGCGTGAGAGCCGGCGGCGGCATCGGAGACGAGTTGGAGGACCCGGCCGGAGATCCCTACGAACTCTACCGCATCCTGTTCGACATCACCTTCTTCTTCTTCGTCATCGTCATCCTGCTGGCCATCATTCAGGGTAAATATTTTCTCCCAATCAGAGCAGATCCAGAAGTACTTCCTGACTGTTCAGAACTCCCCAACCTGCCACAGGTTTGATCATCGACGCCTTTGGGGAGCTGAGAGACCAGCAGGAGCAGGTGAAGGAGGACATGGAGGTAAGACTCATGTGAAACCTTGAAACCACCTCTAAAAATGTTCCTACCTTTGTGTTTTAATAGCTCAAATAAACCACACAGTGGAAGCCATCTTGGCACTGAAACAAAAGCTAGCATCTACAGTCTTCCTTGTTTCTTGGGAGTCTGAAGAAAATTAATGACTCCTGGATTTTCTGGTGTGCAAAATGGCAGCCAATAGTGTGTAGGTGTAGGAAAGTTGAACTGTTTTATTTAAAAAAAAAAAAAAACTGCTGAATTTGTGTTTATTAGATTTTTTTTTATTATTTTGGGGAAAAAAAGCCTAAAATTTTAACTGTTTCATCAGATTTTTTGATTACAGTCTTATTCACGAGTTTTTGGTTCCCCATTTATAAAATATGTAAAAAAAAAATAATGCAGTTGGAGAAACTGAAACAGACTTTTATAAGCCTGGCGGGCCACCAGGCTTGTTCACATTGTTCATTTTTTTTAATTATTGCCTTTTTAAAGACTTTAGATATCAATTTTCCTGTCTCCTAATAACGCAAAGCTATAATGTGATATTTTCAAATTTCCTGTCAACATTGAGCTCAAAAACATGGCGGCCGGCTGGATGGATGGCAGCGTAGCGCCTCAGGCTTCACTCGGCTTCTGGGGGAAACTGGTGATTAGAGATGAAACAGAAACATTTGGGATATGGTCCACATTAATCATTTTACATTTTTCTTGTTTCTGGATGATAAACTGTCCCAGGAATTATTTCGATGAACGAAAAATACAGTTTTGGGACCATTTTCAAGTAATATAATAATGGCTAAGAACACTTTGTACAGAAACTGGGAGATATTTTAAATATCCAAAATGAAACAAACACAAAAGAAATAAAAATCGCCAAAACCAAAACCATGATTAAAATGGGCAATGACGTCTCAGTAAGCAAAAAATGGAAATTAGCGGAAGTTGGCATCCTCCTCAATTAAAAGTTCTAATAGTTGCTAAAATCTAAATCCGTAATTTTCTGGATTGTTTCCGTCAGACCAAATGCTTCATCTGCGGCATAGGGAACGACTACTTTGATCGAACGCCTCACGGGTTTGAAACTCACACCCTGCAAGAGCACAACCTGGCCAACTACCTGTAAGTGCAGCGACACACTTAAACTCTAAAACATGAGTAATTTAAATGACTCCTGCCCTCCTGTGTGCAGGTTCTTCCTGATGTACCTAATCAACAAAGATGAGACTGAACACACGGGTCAGGTACGTGAAAATCTCCACCTCTGCACAATAAGACAGCAAAGGACGGACAGGAGTTCAGATTTTTACTTATGCAACATTTCAAGTGGGCTGAAATGTTGCAGGGGAACGAAGCAACGCGTGGGCTCGCTTCGACTTCAGATTTACGTTGTTTTTATTTGATGTGAAGCTTCTAAAAAAAACTAATTCAGAGATTAATAGAAAATAGATCTGCAGGTTTGTTGGTCAGGCCTGTGAAATAGGTGTTTATTTTTATGTCCATGATTCCATTTTGGACCATTTTAAATTCAATTGAAATGCAGCTATTGACAGTCTAAGCCAGTGGAGTCCAAAATGAGGTTAGGGGGCCATTTGTGGCCCTCAACAACAGGATGGACAATCAGACCATGAATGCTCTTAAAGGGCCGGTTGTGCCAGAATGTATTAATAAAACCTGTTTATAAATCGTCAAAATATCAATGAATTATTAAAGTTAAATAATATCATTGAACATCTTTTGGGAAAAAGAAAATCTTGTTAAATAATCTGCCAATGAAACTAGCCTCTATATGTAGCTACAAAGCTACTTCTACATTAGTTTGTCTTATTTCAAGTGAAATGAGATATTAGCATTGGAAACTAGACTAGCGTTTCTCAATGGGCACGGTACTGCCCCCTAGGGGACGTTTCCTCGAAGGTAAACTTTACACTTTAAATGCACAATAGCAGTTTAGACTTTGAGCAACTTGCTAAATCTGTAACATCAAAACACGCTTGGCTTTTTCCACTCTTTCTTTTTGTTCTCTAGGAAATTACTGTGTTTCTCTTAATGAGCCGGAAAGTATGGTATCGATCAGATAAAATCAGACGCGTTTCTCGCCTTGCTGACGTTTTGAACCGAACGTTTCCCATTTGTCTTCCAGGAGTCGTACGTGTGGAAGATGTACCAGGAGAGATGCTGGGACTTCTTCCCTGCCGGAGACTGCTTCCGTAAGCAATACGAGGACCAGCTGGGTTAGGAGCGGCCGCCGCCGCCGCCGCCTCCCCAAACGCCCCTCCCCTACTCGACGTCGCCCTGTTACCAGAACCTGAACGCATTTTGAATTCTACCACTCACTGGACGCTCCGGATTTGTGCATCGAGTTCCTTTTACTTCCTGCCACGACGGCTCATTTACGTCTTTGTTTTGATTGTGACTCCCTTTGCCTTTCCCACCTGCTTAAACCCACCATGTGTTGTGTGTCGACATCTGAAACACGGCTAAGGGTTACAGCAGGACGACTCGATGTCTGTAAATGCACAATTTCTCGTCCCACAAACCTGAGTAGACAAACGTTTGCTCCTGGAATGGATCAGTGCTGATTGAGTTAAATGATTTGCCTTTTCAACGCTGGCTCTAGCGCGTAACGAAACGAACGTGGGTCCTTCAGGACCAGAGGCGACTCTGTTAGGCGTTTAACAAGTACCGACGTGCCTTTGGAAAAATTAACTATGCAAAAACGAATCTTTGTTCCTCTTAACACAAGCAGTGCTCTAGTTCTGGTCTTAATCACATCGGTTTTTTGGCTTTTAAATGAACAAAAAAAAACATTTGTTGTATAAAATCTAGACATTTCTTGTGTAAATGTTGCTTAGTTTGGTTGTGTTCCTACACTGTGGTGTCCTGCCCACCCTGCACTTCTTCTCCACAGCAGACGAATCCCACAACAGAAGAGAGTTATGAAACTCGGATCAATGATTTATTGGCTGAAACTGTGCGGCCATTTGTACGTATGTAGGAGGAAAATAATAAACTGATGCAATACGATACATTGTGTCACCTGTAGCCTGTTTGACCATCAATCCCTGGCAGAGGAGCAGAGAAACGAACGGTACTGAACACACATTTCTGCAAACTTCACAGCAGACGGTCCAGTTTTACCTCCAGAATCTTCTTCATGGTCAGGAGATCATGCTGTCCAGCCAGTCCTCCAGGTCCTCCTCAGTCATCGACCCTTTGACCTCCGCAGGCTTTGGAGGGGCAACATCCTCGTCTAAAGCTTTTTCTTCTGATGCAGCGTCTTCTAATTCTTTAAAAGTAAATATTAAGCTTGAATCCACACAAGACTAAATCATCTCAGTGACCTTATTACATACAAAGGCTGGGCGATGAATCTATTTGTGGTTTTTGAATATTCAAGTTAAACTTTTTCATAGTTCAGATTGACATCAGCATCCAGAGCCGCCATCTGTAAATCTTTTTTTTTTTAATTATAAGAATAAAACTAATAATAAAAGAACAAATTCAGAAATTAAAAATAAGAATGCTCGTCTTATCGATTTTTACAAATATTTAAAAAAATTATGCTGATGTGCTAAAAAGTCATCAGTGTAATTATGCAAACTGTGTCTATGACAAAGAATTAACCACAGTAACGCCTTTATTCAAGTAAACAAACACAGTTTGTAGTCTGGCCCTAATAGAAGAACGGATGATTCAAATAAACATTAATTTTTGTAAATATTTTACATAATTTCTTTTTTAGATAAAGTGAACAAGCAAAATAAAAATCTGACTTCATTTAAAGCTGTAAGGCTCCGCCCTATAAATATTTATTTTTCTCAAAATAATAGTTCTCCTAATGTTACCATGTGGAGCAATAGGCTAGCATTAGCATATTTACTGTTTTGATACGACTTGTTGATAATTCTGCTCAACACGTTTCAATTGCATATGAACAAGATTAGCAAAAATAATCTCTTCTTCTGTCAGTTAATCCCTCTCCTCCACCATGAAAATCCCAAAATCACCATTTTTTTAAAATTGTTGAAATTATTTTCACTTTTTATCAACCAGCAGAACAGATGACAATAAAACTCGCCTTCCTCTGGCGGCCGTCTCTCCTCTGTTGGACTGCAGATCAGCTGATGTCCTGCATCGTCTGAACTGGCAGATTTCTGTAAACCAAGTAGCTCATCCAGCTCTTCATCACCATCCTCCTCCTCCTCCTCCTCCTCAGGCTTAACAGCCACAGAGGAAACCCGGGAGTTTAAACCCACCGCCGGTTTCTGACTGGCGCTGAGGCCTTTAAAGGCGGCGGATGGAGGAGGAAATTTGGGTACTTCCTGTTTCGGTGCGAGGCTCACAGCTGGCAGCTCAACTGGTGCTGAGACCTGAAACAGCAAGAGCCAAAGAGTAAGACTAAATACCTTTAAGTGATAACTTTGTTTCAGAAAGTTCAGTTGCACCTGAGACATAAGAAAAAGCTCCAACCTGAACCAGTTCAGCTTCTAGATTCAGTCTCCGATGGAGAGGAACTTGCTGGAGACTCTGGGCGAGAGCCTGGAGGTCCAGAGACACCACTGACACCTGAAGATTAAAAAATAAACCGGGAAAACAATCGGAATCAAACGCCTCGGAAAGGAAAAGGCGCCACAAAGATTCACAGCTGCCATAAAACAGAAATCCTTAAAAACTTTGGAGATGTAACAAATTTACATTAGGTTTTAGTTTTTAGATTTGAAAATCCAGGAAAAAGTTATTGTTCAAGAAAACCTTTGAGATTATTTCTAGATGATTTAAACTTTTTATGTCTCAAAAACCTACTCCTTCAAGGACATGTATTTATTTTACGCTCAGTAAATGTTGGTTGGTGTCGGTTAATCTCAGCGTTCAGAGAGCAACTGGATTATTCCAGAGCTTTTCCAAGTCCATATAATGCTGATCTCAACTCAGATTTAGAATTAGTTCAGGTCAGAAGTGGCCAAACCTTCTCAAATATGGGCCAAAATTTGTGACAGATCTCAGAAATTTTCTAGAAAAAAAACTTGGAAGTTTCTGAATTTCAGAAATCCAAAATTTCCAACAGAAATTTTCACGTTTTTTGGCAGAAATTTACTGAATATTTTACTTTCCTCAACAACAGCCCTCACATGCTGTGGCAGATTTAGCAGTTTTGAGAGGTATGAAGATCTAATCATCAGTTTGTTTTGGGCTCGAATGAATACATTTATTTTCAGTAGGAACAAGCAGGGCCACCGCCAGGAATCTTGGGGCCCCAGGAAAGAAAATTAGATTGGGGCCCCCATGCAGCTGCTGTTATAATGTTTTGAGTCTTTTTTTTTTTTTTTTTTGTCTATTTGGCCCATAAAAAGTGTCACAATTTTAAAGTCTTGCAACTGACTTGCTTTCTTTGGTCCAATACTGATACTTGCACAATATTTATTGCTCATTTTATATGCAACAATCTGCATACAATATGCAAGCAGGTTGCTTAAATTATTTTCTATTAGTTTTAGATTACTGAAATGTCTCTCAGTCAAAAGCAACATGCAAAATACACATAGAGCAATCCAGACTGTTCAAAAAATGCTATTTATTCAAACTGCAATATATAACTTTAATAAAAAAATATGTTTTCTCCATATTTGTTAAAGCTGTCATGATGTTGTGACAGTTTATGAGACAAATAATCTGTGAAAACAATCAATCTCCCCCACCTGCTACATGAATTAATATTACTGGCTAAAGTAATGCAACATTCCGGCCAAAACAACCAATCAGAACCAGTTGGAGGGTCTTAGTGCTGTCAATTAACCTAATTAACTCACTGCTAAATGTGCTAATGGTGGAAAAACAACAAATCATTACAGGAAAATCTGCCGTCATTGCAATGCTTATGCATTTACAACCGGCTATGCTAGCTGCAGCATAGCACAGGCAAGAGGGAGGAAGGATGAGCAGCAACACATGAGATTGTGATTGACAGCGCTAAAACTCTCCTGCCACTGATTGGTTGTTTCTAGGTAGAAGGCAGAGGAAATACTGCAGCAATAATTTCAGTCAGGAGGGACAAGAGCTGCTGCTGACTAAAACACCTGCTGTTAAGTGGTAAAAGGTATAAGCGACAAGTTAATATATGAATATCTTGGTAATTGTTTTCCTTAATTCATTAGACGCTATGGAGGCAAACAGTCTGTAGCTAAGCTAACAATGCTAATTGATAATATCACCCACCTCTCTTGGAGAAAAAGTGGATTACAAATTGACTCTCTTTCCTTAATATAATTAATTTTGTAATTGACAGGGCCCCATTATTTTTTTCTATGAACAAAACATAAAAAATTATAAATAAATTGTGGAGAAATTGTCATAACTTTCCCCCCTATACGGCCTTGGTAACAGGATTTAGTTCACATTATTTCAAAATTCATTAACTTTATTAAAGACACAAATAGGTTCATATGAGAAAAATAACTCACATAAAATTTAACCAAATTTAAGAAAGCATAAAATCTGATTTGGATCCAGCAAAGTCTCTGGATAAACGTGGTTTTACTTTAAAGCTTATAAAACGGCAAATACTTTATAAGAAAATTATGTTAGTAATAATTTACCCTGTTTACAAATTGAAACTCTCCTTCTGCAAATACGGGCCAAATTTGTAGCATTTTTGAATTGTAATTGGGGGTTGCTCAAAATCAGTCCAAGTGCCACAAAAGGCCCCCGGGCCACAGTTTGAACACCCCTGATTTAGGTTAATGATAGTGAAAGGAGAGTTTGACCTGATTGGCTGCGAATGGATCCATCTCCCAGTCCTTCTCTTCTGCAAACCGGAACTGAGTGAACGAATCCCCTGGAAGACAAACAGAAATAACTTCATGAGCATCAAACGATTTGTCAAAAATATCCGAAATGTTTTGGGAGTCAATCAGCATCTTTGTGTGAACCGATGGAGAGCGACAGCAGCGCCAACTTTTTATGACATTAACAGCAATAGCTCTAGTGTGCAACACTCCACAGACACCGAGAATGTTATTAATAAACAGAATCAGGGTGCTAAAAGTCACAATAAATAAATAAATAAAAGAGGAAACTTGTGTTTGAACGAGGCACAACGCTGCAGCAGAAAGCTCAGAGTTAAATCACAACATCCAGTACAACAAGGATACAGAGTCAGGTGTGAAGCACCACTCTGCCCACTTCGTGCTTCTGGTTATCTCGGCCGCGCTGCAGAAGGATGTCACTTTGGATGGAATAAAAGGCCGCCTGTGGGTATTTTTACACAACACGATGAAAGGCAAAAAGCAAGCTAAAAATTCTTAAATGCAAAACAGAAAGGCAACAGCAAGTCCTTTCTTTGAGGTAAAAGGAGAACAGAAACATTTTAGTTATTTAAGAAACAAAACTGGGACACGTCTAAACCAATAACAACAGCTAACAAATCTGAGAAAACAGAAGAACTGTAAGAAAAGTGACAATATTAAGTATTGATCCTTTACACGTAAACTCACACTCTCAGAAACTCGGCCACGACCGAAAAAAAAAAGCTAGAATATAAATACATCCTGGACATTTTCGAAAGCTGCTCGTGTAATATGATCCAAGCTTTTACTTCTGCGTGTTTTTTTTGTTGCTTTTTCTCATATAATTTACCTGGATTACAAAGACAAGCTGTAATTCAAACATATCTAAAACCACTATAGAAATATGACAAAGAGAAAAGCCATCAAGAATAATAAACAGTCAGAATAGAAATCTTAAAAAAAAAAAAAGTTAAATAATTTGTTTATCGCGAGTTTAGAAGAACCACAGGTCGTAGAAATATGAAACTCTATACGTAGGCAGATACCCCCCATTTAGGAAAAAAGTCTGTTGACGGTACGCCCTAAGATGCACAGGGAGGCGGCCATTTTGGGTCAAATGTCAAATTTTACCTGATTTTAACTTTTATTCACGTCAAAGTTGAGCAAAGTCCTCCTAGGGATTTAAGGCATGGGGCATTAAAAGTTATCAAAAAAGATTGAGTTTATAAATTTTATTAAATAATAAATTTTAACCTAGCCTTTGATGTGTAGCTGGCATCTGTTTGCAATTTGTCACACTTCCTGCTCCTCCAGAAACATCACACATTCTAGAACGAATAAACAATCTAACTGTTCATAAGGAAAATGAATAGCGTTAATGCAAGTTATTAATTTAAACCTATCACTCATGTTTCGACCGCGCTGCACCAAACTCACTGAAATCCATCCTTGTCCACCCTTTGACAGGAATTTGGTCCAATATTTAGACCAACTCCTCCACAACACACCCTAGAATATCCTTAAAAATCATCCACAAGCCACGATTTATCCAAGAATTATGAAACTTGGCACACATTTAAAAGAGGAGTTTGATTTAAGTCAAAATCCTAGTGGCCAAAAGTACTTTAAGCAAACGAGAGCAGAGAAGACTTGGGGAAAAGGTCAACTAGAAAAGCCTAGTAAACCAACGGTCGTCTTTTGGGACCGAACCGGAGAGAATCACTGATGTACTTGGAGAAAATGCAAACCATGAAGGCAGAAGAACCCAGGCAGGGAGTCAAACCCAGGCAATCGTTCTACTCTCAAAGATAGATGTTTTAATCACAGTGAGCAAATTTAGAGCCAAATTAACTAACAGTCGTGATTTCAGACTGTGGCAGGAAGCCGGAGCGCCCGGAGAGAAACCTGCAAACAGGAAACCTGTCTTAATCTTTTTAGTACATGAATTTAGATAAGACCCGGTCAGATTTCTCCAGCCTCCAAATGGTCACTAATTGTATCTTTTTCAATTTCCTCATTATCCAAATTAGTTATGTTTGGCTCCTCTCCAAACGTGCCTTGGTCGTCTTGGAGAGGAGGGGCTGGAGAACTTGAGACATCAGTGACTAGCTGATGTCTCCTTACCTTTTCATAAACATATAAAACTCCCATTTGATTCATGTCTTCACTGCAGAGGTCATCTGCAGTGAAGACATGATCATTTTCTGCCTTCATAATTTGATGTTCTCCCAGCAAATATGTATAAAACTGGGTCGGCTCTGGACCCTGACAGATCACGGAGGACAGACAGAACCGCTCCGTCCCGCAGGCAGACTGTGCGGGCACATCCACAGTCTGGTTGGCCGTCACTGGGTGTATCCTGGTCCGCCTCGGGAGAAAAAACACCAGAACGTTGTTATCCGCCAACTGGTGCTTCTTCTCCAAGGCAGACTTGCAGCCTGAGCAATGGCGTCTGCCTCCCAATGCCAACCAATCGTTAAAAAGAGTAACTAAATCGGTCGGAAAGGTTGCCGCTGGCAGGGCAACCAAGGGGCCATTGCTCAGGAGCTCCAGGCAGCTGGTATCACAGACAGAGCAATTGTTGGAGCAGTACAATTCTCTGTCTGTCTCCCCTCCAAGTGAGTCCAGCCAAACTAAGAAGGACTCCAGCAAACATTTTACAGCGTGATCCCTTCCCTTGTCCGACAACAGATTTCTCTCCTTCAACTCTACCAGAGCTGGGGAGAGGTCTGTTGCTGTAAAATGTCTGCCCGGATGGCGGACCGCTGCAAGGATCAGACTTGCGCAGCATGGAATGGATGAAGCCTCCAGAAACACCCGTTCCCGGGCAAGACACCGTCCGGTGACACCCAGGTTCAGGATGCTCTGGAACGCAGCATTCATCCAGCTACTGTTCAGTTCATTGGAGAACTGACAGTAGCGTTCCATGCCCGCTTGTCTGGATCCTGCAGCCTCTGTCGTCCCACCATCTGTCATGTCTGAGCCGACCCTCTCTTCCGAATTAGGATCCTCCTCCGGTAAACAATTAATTTCGAAAGATATAATGACCCTACCACTGAAAGACCTCTTTTTTGCCTCTGAGGTACCAAGTTCCCCAGCCGAGGTACTTGGTACCTGAAAGGCACTGGTAATGGTGCCTTTCAGAGACCTCTTTGATGAACCCAGAGCTGGGACCACTGAAGCCAAGGCTTCTGCTGTGAATTCAGCAAAAGCCTTGGCTGCAAGGTCTGCCGCAGATACATCTTCCCCAGCCGGGGCAGATGCTTCTGCGGCCCGTCTCTGGCACGCAAGATCTTCCATCGAGTTAGTACCGTCAAACTCAGTAGTGTCTCCTGTCGTCAGGTCTCCGTCTGCTGTCTCACAAACAACACACGGAGCCATCGGTTCAAGACAATCCTGCCAGCCGGGTCAGTTCCTCTGGAGACAGTACCGTTGTCTGCGGTACTCTCTGGTAGGGTCTCGATGGGGTCTAATTCTACGGTCCCAGTGACGTCCGTTGGTTTGGAACAAACCTCCCCAGCCGGGTTGGTTTGTTCCTTGGCATCCCTTCTCCAAAATAAATCCTCCTGAAATTCCTCGAAGTCCTTTGAGTCTTGTGATTCCTGTGAATCCTTCCAGTCCTGATATCCTCCTTCGTCCATCCCAGGAAGACAATAATCCCATAATTTTTTCATGCCGGTACTAACGGCATATCCCAAGCCCCAACCCAGTGGGATGAACAAAGGCACGAGTGCATTCAAAGTAGACATTGTTATCGTTGGCAAATCTTCTTCTCTGAAAGCTGTCTGAATCCTGACTGAAGCACTGAGATTCCTACTTTAGAATCTCTTTGTCATTGATGATGTCATTGATGATCATCAATGACCTCACTGGACTTCAAGGGCAAGGTATTGCCTCTGGTCATCACTATGGCAACGATAATATCAATTCTGCAAGACTCATGATGAAATAATGACTAAATATTTTAAAAATATGTAATATTTTATTCATTTAACAATAGATTTCTATATGATTAAATTTTTGTATTTGTGGTTTTCCATACCTGCTGTGGTATTAACAGCCTTAAGCCATTTATCCACTGATATTTTTAGACACAATCCTATGGTAAGCTAATTGTAGCTTCGCACTCTGAGCTCACATCACATTATAAATATTTACATGCAATAAATTGACATATTAAATATTTACAATATTTTGCAAGCAATATATCTACACTTTAGTTACTCGTCTTTGACACAGTGCAGTGTGAAAGTGAACCACACCGCTTAAAATGCAATAAATGTTGGGCATCCTGATCTATTGATATTGCTATTGATTTGCTTTCCAATCATAAGTAGATTTTTTTTTTATTTAGAAGTTGTCTTTTTTTTTCTAAAGATCAGGAAACTGAAACTTAAACAATTACAAAATAAAATGCAACAAAACTTCTCTGAAATGGTTCAGAGTCAAATTATTCTAAATATGATGAAGAATAAATAAAGAACAATTATAGAATTAGTCTGAATAGATCTGCCTTTATTGATTAGGATTTTTTTTCTCAGTATTGGAGCCAATACAGATGTAAATATCGGTTTGGTACATCTCCAAAACAAACTATTTTGAATAAAGCGGAATAAATAAAACATTTTTGTTTGATTTGTAGTGAATAAATCTGTTTTGTTTTAGCTCAGATTTGGCCATAGAAACAAGTGGGAAAAAAATTTACAATGAAAATAAAAAGATTTCTGAAGGAAAAAATTTATAGGATTTAAAAACAGGCAGGAAGTGACCTTGATGTAAAGGCGTATATATGATGTATATAGTTGTATATTAAATATCTTTTTTAGATAATATTTTCTGTTTAAGATGAAAAAATTTATTTCACCATTTATCTTATTTCATGCAACATTACAAATACAAAATAAGTATTTTACTGCCTAAAGACAGTTTTAGAGCATTTGTACATATGTAAAGATAAAGAAGCGTTTTCAACTTAAATGCAAAATGTACATATTTTTCTTACCGTTTCATTTACTGAAATACTTGACAGTTATGTTAATAATGGTCAACT